TTCCTTTAATATCGTTGTTCTTCTCGCATAGCCGAGAAACTTGAACTGAACAATGATTGTGCCCTTATGGGCTTTGAGCTTTGGATGCATTATAAATCTGACAATCAGTTCCTTTATTCGGTTAAGAGTGGCCGTTTACGCTCCTGTTGATGTTTTGCCACTCCTCTAGTCAACAGTTCTAGATTAAGGACGGATATATCTTAGAATTAGGGGGTCTCTGACGTTATCGTTTCGCCATTGTGTCCCGTAAGGTGCCGTTCGTGTTTAAAAATATCAAATACGAAAAAAAAAAATGTTTAATATTGGATCAAGTCCTTAACATAAATGTTTGGTAGGTAGTAAAGATGATTGGTTGATTGGAATTTTTAGAGCAAGACTACACTAGACCATCTGCTGTGTCCACCGTGTGGAATCCACGGATCCTCGGGTATTAGCGTTGAAAGTCAGTAGACTTACCACTGTCTCACCTGGCGACAGTTAGTAGAGATAGTTTCAAAGGTTCTCGTCGTAGAACGCTGGCCCTTATTTATCACAAATTAAATATGGCGATTATTTGAAAAATATTGATATTTCGTTCACGTTTATCATGAAAGATTGGGAAATACAAAAACAATATACTGATATTGTATTGTATTATGTATCAGGCAGATTACGCTGTTGTTCTATGCTGATACCGATATTGTATTGTATTATGTATCAGGCAGATTACGCTGTTGTTCTATGCTGATACTAATATTGTATTGTATGATGTATCAGGCAGATTACGCTGTTGTTCTATGCTGATACTAATATTGTATTGTATGATGTATCAGGCAGATTGCATTGTTGTTCTATGCTGATACTGATATTGTATTGTATTATGTATCAGGTAGATTACGCTGTTGTTCTATGCTGATACTGATATTGTATTGTATGATGTATCAGGCAGATTACGCTGTTGTTCTGTGCTGATACCGATATTGTATTGTATTATGTATCAGGCAGATTACGCTGTTGTTCTATGCTGATACCTATATTGTATTGTATGATGCATCAGGCAGATTACGCTGTTGTTGTATGCTGATACCGATATTGTATTGTATGATGTATCAGGCAGATTACGCTGTTGTTCTATGCTGATACCGATATTGTATTGTATGATGTATCAGGCAGATTACGCTGTTGTTCTATGCTGATACCGATATTGTTTTTGTTATACAGGTCAGCTTACCAAGTCAAGTTTCATTGGAATCGAGAACTTGCGGTCACGTGTTTACTCAAACAGCTGTTTATAAAGGGAAAATAGTGGCTGTGAAACAGATGACACTCAGTAAGAAGACAGCAGACATCCCAAGAGATATAAAGAAGGAAATGAAATTGGTAAGCCTACTACTTACACAGTACGAATGTATATTATTATGTATGAATTAAGAAGGAAATGAAATTGTTAATCCTACAATACACCGTTCGAATATGCCGGATTATCTAAGAATAAGGAAGGAAATGAAATTGTTAAGCCTACTACTTACACATTATAAATATGCATTATTACGTAAAGATAAAGAAGGAAATGAAATTGTTAAGCCTACTACTTACACATTATGAATATGTATTATAATGTACAGATAAAGAAGGAAATGACATTGTTAAGCCTACTTTTGCGAATATGCCTGATTATCTTAAATGTTCTGAAACCGTTTCAGTTCATAAAATATCACAACTCTTGTTCTATTACCATCTATTAGTGGTTTTATATAACTTTGTTTTGGCACCTGGGAATATTGTTGTATTAATCATTATACTATGGTTTTATGTTCTATAATTTTTTTATTATCCTCTTAAATACATCTATTTTTTTCGTCAAATCCTTCTACTTATTTTTTTTTCAGATGCGGGAACTTCATCATGACAATATAAACTCATTCATAGGCGCGTGCGTTATTCCAAACAAGCTTATCGTTATCACAGAATATTGTCCGAGAGGGAGTTTACAGGTATAGTACTTGTTTCTTTAATATGTTACCTCAATATGTTGCTCAGATGAAAGTGGATTTATATATCTTGAGTTGTTTCGATTAAATCAACCATATCAATCGTGATTTTTCGCAAAAAACAATCAAAATGATTTCTTTACCTAACTAAATATATTGATTAAAATCAATAGAAATAACAATGCGCGAAAAAGATTAGAAATTTTCTAAAGCTATTTTAATCAAAGCAAAACCGGGTACATTACTCTTACGTGTGCTTTGCGTGACATTTCAAGTTTCCAATACAAAATTCCCTTCCTTTTAGTATCCTGATTTCTGCTGTATAGTCAAGTGTTATTGCAGCGTTTTCTGACTTGATTATCGTTCAATTTAATGAAGAATTGATTTTTTCTCTTGTCGTTGCAACACAACATAAATGAAAATTTGCCGATATTAAACGTTTTTGTAAAGTCATCGTATAGGTGATTCTTGCGAGTACACGCAAGCAAAGCAAAATATATGGCTGAAGCAAACCTATTTAATTGCGGAAGTGTGCGAGCATGTTCGAGAGAAAGCACAAGCTTTTGTTTTCAGTTAAGGGGAGTTAGAGAGTATGTATGTATGTCTATAAAAAAGAAAGAAGGAAGAAAGAGCACAAATGAAGTTTTTAAATTGTTTTAGCACATAATTGCTCATGGATAGAATGATTAGGAGATTTCCCCCCACAGAAAAGAAATAAAATCCGGCCTTTTCAATTTGAGATCAGTTAGTCGTCCTGTTTGCCAAAAATAGCTATATTGGTAACTTTGGCCTCAATTTGCGGCCTCAAAACTGACTCTGAGGCCGCGGCTACATAGTCCATGCTACTTCTCGCACAATGTTGTACCTGTAGTGTTTGCAGCTTTAAAGATAAAATACTTCTGTTGAGATAACTTTGTCAATCTTTATTAATGATATTCAATGGATTATTGGGATTTTTCCCTGCTGTAACTTTGGATATTATGTGTTCTCAGCTTCACATTATAAAAATATATCATGTTACACTATAGAAGATGTGCATGCTATTCCGATTAATTTCAATATATAATTAGATATTATAACACTTATCATATCATCATTTGTTTGTTCCTCACGACTTTATATAACGAGGGAAAGAACTGCCCAAAAAGGTTTACCTATCTCTACAACATATTTGGTTGAAGAGCAGGTAGACATTGCAATAACTCTACATCTTGTAATTGAGATTGTCAGTTTAGTTGATTTCTTGTTCCATCAGTTAACGAATCTCTTAAATAATCTACGTTTATCAGTAATGGTTTGTTGTTATGTATATTGAGGTTTTTGGCATTTCATATAAAGTTTTAGTATGAGAAAATATAACATTTCTTTTCGTAGGATATCCTGGAGAACGACGACATTCGTTTGGACAATATGTTTATAGCGTCTCTGGTGTTTGATTTGATCAAGGTACGAGCTTAATCACATTGGTCTATTCTTCTTTGTAAGTTTAAGTATTTGTAATAAAAGGTTTGAAGGAATGAGAAACATTAAAGTCAACAACGAATCCGCAAAATATTATAAACATTAATAACGTCTCGTTTCATTTCTTGACCTATAACTGTTTATATTTCTGTTTCATTTCATGGATGAGATAGAGAACTTTCTTGAATTAGTGGCTACACTGTTACATCCATCATACTTTGAAGACAATGTTCATACAAGGTAAAACAAAAAACGTGAATTAGTGGCTACATTGTTATATCCATCATACTTTGAAGACAATGTTCCAAACTATGTAAAACAAACAACGTGAATTAGGGGCTACACTGTTACATCCATCATACTTTGAAGACAATGTTCCAAACTATGTAAAACAAACAACGTGAATTAGTGGCTACACTGTTACATCCATCATACTTTGAAGACAATGTTCCAAACTATGTAAAACAAACAAAAAAGCTCATTAGTGGTATACTTCGAAGACAAATAAAACAAAATCGTGATAATACTTTTGATTAATCGTAAAACGTTCTTAATTTTTCGAGTTTTATGTCACGAGATG